GACTCCGCTGTCTGTGTGTCTGTCAGTCTGTCACCACGCTGTATCTCATGAACCGTGATAGTTAAACAGTTGAAAATTTCACAGATGATGAACTTCTGTTGCCGCTATAAATTTTTACGTAAGCCCCTTTACGGCCGACGACTCGAAACCTTAAACTCACCAAACGTAACAAGAAATAATTTCATGTTTCGTTTGGTTAGCGAAGTAAACAGTGAGCACTTTTTTATGTTGGTTACTCATCTGAAACCCGTCACGCGTTGTAGTTGTCCATGAGATAAACACTCAACGTCATATGAGCCGCCTGCTCGCTTACCAACTTTTAACATATCTTATCCTTTAAACGAGCAATTCTTGTATATATATATATATAATTGGAATCTCGGAAACGGCTCCAGCGATTTACATGAAATTTAGTATGTGCGTAGATTCGGGGGCGAAAAATCGATCTAGCTAGGTTTCATTTTTAGAAATGTCCTTTTATCCCCGTTTTCAGGGAATGAAAAATATCATTTGAATATGACAGTCAATTTCGCCGCAAAATAAAATGTTATAATAGCTCGGTCGCTAATCGGGCGGCCCCAAAACAGACGGCCGAGGTTCGTATCACGATCATTTACACACTTATTTTTTTACTTTTTATCATTCCGATAGTTAAGAAGATCATTCTGAGCAATTCGAAGAATTTAAACATCCTTTTGGCAACTCAAATGACATTTGAAAATCCATTTGACAGCTGATTGGTTAACTTCTACTACGAGCAGTGTTTCAGAAACCGGGCGTTAGTAAGCAGTCCTAATTACCCTATTGTCTATTTTTGGCGCGCTTCTACTGACACGATTTGATAACCGATGACGGCACTCGAAAGATTTGGAGCGTAGTTTATGCGTAGGAGGGCCAAATTGCCGCGAACTGTGTTCCCTCTTTGTTAAGTGGCATTAGATTTAACGATAGATAATCTATCTTTAAATTAATTTTACGAAAACGAGAAACGAGCTGGCTGGTCGTACCTGTGTTAAGTGATCACCGCCGTCCATTGATATTTGCAACACCCGTAGGTTACAGATATCAATGGGATTGCGTTGCCATCTTTTAATAAAGTTACCGCGGCTACCCCACTCGCCAGAAGAAACGCAGAAGTATAACACTTAGTCGACATAGCTCAGAAGATTAGCAAGCTGAAGTGGTGGTCGGCCGGCCATATAGCTAGTAGCAGCTGTTGCACGAACGGGCAGGCTCATCCGGGTAAGTACCACGACATCACAGAAGACCGGCGTAAAGTGGAAGTATCATACTTTCGCGTTTCGTCTGGTGAGTGAGGTGGCCGGAGCCCAATTTTCAAAAGATGGTGAACGCATCTGCAACCCTCGGGTGTAGCGCGTGTCCATGGCAACTTTTCACATTAAAAAAAGAAAGGTTCTCGAGTGGCAGCCTCGTACTGGCCATCGCAGTGTATGACGACCTGTGCAAATGTGCGGGTAGTCGATGGATGCAGGTGGCTCAGGATCGTACTTCGTGGCAGTCTATGGGAGAGGCCTATGTATATCAGCAGTGGACTCAAACAGGCTGAAATGATGATGATGGTAACACTTCCACTTCACACCGGCCTTCTTTGAGGTAAAAGCGTAGACTGTTGCGTGGCGCTACCACAGTTTAGTTGTGTTTATGCTAACGCTTCTGATGTAGCACAATAACACAATCTTCTCAAAAAAGAGATTATATATATCTGACGGCAGTTGTTTCCCAGATATCATCTTCTCCTCTAAGCGTGGGAACTGTTAATAGATTTTGACTTTCATGATTAGTTGAAACAAGCGTAAATAGATAAACTTTTGACTTTGACTTTGATTATCGTAAACCGTATTTTGGGAAAGACCGAAAAAGAAATATAAGTGACGACTAAACTTTTTCATATCTGAATCATATTTGAATCTTAGGTCGCTGTGGTTTATTAAAAGCTTAATCTCATAACCATTCTTCAGAGATACCGTGCGTTAATGCTCTTTGTTAATAATAAATATTTTTATAAAGTTCAAAGGATTCGTTGTAGTTCCGCCTAATTTGATTAGTGTTGCAGCATCATTAGCGTCATTTAGATGGAGGTTTGAGACAAAGCTTGAAATATTTATAAAGCGAGCGAAACAAAGGGATTCCGGAAAGCGGCGGGAACTTGGCAACCCGAGTGCCACAGATAAATAATGACCCCTCAGGTCCATTGTGCGCGGCCGGTTATCAAACGCTATTGCGACTCCCCATAATTCACGAAACAATTTGCCGAAGAATATGTTACGAGGAACAATTAAACTCCCAAAAGCTTTACAGTTCAATAGCTGATTCAAGAACAGACGACGTTTAACGAAAAATATTTACACCATTGAAATTTAATTTCTTTAAACGCTACGGAAACATTCAATTGTCTAGTTACCTGCCAACTTCTTCTATACCAAAGGAGAAATAAAAATACAATGGCCACAGATACGAAAATATCATCTGTGTATCTTCTCTGCATTTTACTCATTTTCGCCAAAGGAAGAAAAAGACATAGGGAACGTCAAAAAATGATAAACTATTGAACCTTCATGGTCTTTCGATTATGAAACTAGACAATTATCCATGCCCACTTTTGACCCAAGCGGTTCTCACACGTAGCTGCCTGTTGGTTTGATTGCCTGAGTAGAAAAAAATCGATATACGAAAAAATTCAGACATAATTTTGTAACCCCCACAGATGTTCGTTTCCCAAAACATTTGCAATTCTGGGCGAAATTGAACTCCGAGATACTATTTTGTTACATACATACGGCAATATAGTTCAAGCTAATGAAAGCGTATTTCTAAGCAAATCTTATATACCTTCATACATTCCCCTAGTACATACGAACCCATCATGAGCATGGGCGAATTCTTCGAGAACGTTCTACGTCACGTCCTGTGTCATTGAAACGACCGTATAAATCTTCGCCGGCAGTACAAAAGCGTTGCATCACACGGGAATCGATCGCTGAACATCCTTATTTCGGTAATGGCGCGTAATGGACGCGTTGGGCAATCTACTATTACGCTCCATTACGGCTCCTGCGCCTAAAGGGCTCCGGCTTATAAATATATATGCTCTCACGCCTATGACGCGTATGGAATAGAAAGAGATAGAGCTATAGACGCGTGATTTTAAAATTTTGCTTCACAAATTCGATACGCATTCTGAAATACGTTCGAAAATCGAAATTAACTACAGACGGAACATTGCTTTTTCGCGAGTAATATACTTTAACATCTCAAAAAAATGTAGGATTAAAAATATTTTCATTTTTAAAATTTATTGCTAAATAATAAATAATCTTGACTATAAAATAAAAAAAATATGGTCACAATGATGTGTACGATCCTGTGCCACCTGTTATCGGTTATCGGATCTACGAGCTATATGGCCGGCCCATCGCCACTTCAGCTTGCTAATCCTCTGAGCTATATCGGTTATCTTAGTTCTACTGCGGATGTCTTCGTTACGAACTCTATCACGCAGAGAAAAACCGAGCATAGCCCGCTCCATAGCTCCAGTCTATGGGGGAGGCCTATGTTCAGCAGTGGACTCGGACAGGCTGAAATGATGATGATGGTGATGAATGATGTGTACAGTATTTTAAATCGTCCTACTTCTTTTGGAAACAGAGCTTTCATAATTTTGAAATACATGTGTTTAAAGAAATATTATATTTTATAGGATCGCACTTCGTTGCTGTCAATGGGGGCGGCCTATGTTCAGCAGTGGACTCAAACAGGCTGAAAATGATGATGGTGATAAAAGAAATATTAAAAATACTGAAATCCTGAAAATTTAAATGTAATAATACGATTTAGTAAATCATTTCTTTACAAAAATATATTTATTTAATCTTTAGAAAAATATACAATGTGTTTTAAAATCTATTTACATGTTATTGCATATGTACAACTCGTAAATGCTGATTATACAATTGATACAAATGTAACAACAATGTTACGGATCATATAGTGGAATGCAAAATATTGAGCTTGCGAAAAATAGATTTGGACAGTTTTTCGTGATGTTTTTAAACAACGGTTACAAGTGACTTTCACTTTTACATTCTTATGACAGACGATAAATGTATGCACTTATATTAAAACATTTCGTAATAGTACCCTAAATATTTTTCAACTGAATTGAATCCGAGACTGGTTCTTCTTCATACGTTCATGGTCTTTGATCATGATATTAGATCGTTGCCGGATTGTTTCTAACTAAATAAAGTATAATTGTTGACTTTAAAACAATCATTAAATACATTTATCGAGCAACTACAATTCTGTAGCAAAATAATAAGAAAAAATTATCAATATAAATCTAATAATAGTTATTACAGGTGATTAATGATTAAAGGTGATTACATAAAAAGTGCATGATTAAATATTAAAAATAAACTTAAACTTAAAATAAATAGATGAAAAATATTAAGTTGAGATTAGTGAATTAAATTCCTTACAACTACAACAAAGAATTGCTTATTTTTTTACAACTAATCAATTAACCTTATAATATATCATGATATGCAACAGAATAAAAAATACATTAGATAATAATAATATGTAATAACTGGCCATGTCGTTTAAAAAAAGCGTCTATAGGTCAGACGAATATGACGGTGAAAGTATATTAAAACTTTTTTTAAAAATTTTAAATATTAAAACTTTAAAATTTGGCACACAATTCTTTTGAAACAATATCTGGTTTAAGCTAGTTTCAAAAATATACAAATAAGATATATTGGGATATCGTAGACAACAGTGTGGGAGTATCGTCCGATACGCACATTTAGTATTAATTATTCAATCAAAGTGAAATGGCCAGTCCAATGTTTAAAGTTTCACTATAAGATCGTCTGTTTGTACCCATAGACAAAAGCTACAGACGTCAATACAGTATTTCTCACCGATTTATTCAAAACTAAATACATTTTAGTAATTAACTATGAACAGTTGATTTAAGTTACAGGCGCTTGTATTCTATCTTCGTAAATTGATGTTCTGGTGGAGGGCAGGTTTGTTTCGTCTGTGGCGTGCGTGCGTGATCTCTTCTCGGGCGAGAAAGAGTCGCAGAGAGCTAGCACCTGTAAACAAGAAAGAATTGTATGGAAGAGTGGATCATTTGAATATTAGTCATCATTGAAATCATCACAGATGATGTATTTCTGTTGCCGCTGTGAAAAAACAAATACTAAAGTATAAAAAACATATTTAAGTGGGGCTCCCATACAACAGGCATAACTTTTTTTGCCGTTTTATAAATAATGGTACGGAACCCTTCGTGCGCGAGTCTGACTCGCACTTGGCCGGTTTTTTTTACGTCAAAAGTGATCAAACTAGCAGGTGCTTCACACTGACAACCACCGACAACCACCGACCTACACGGAGATCTACATCACCTGAGGGATTTAAGATGTTTCGACAACCTTATAAAAATGGGCCTCAATAACCTGACTGATCAAACAAGGCTGTGGTACCTTTTAATGTGTCAAGCTGCTAAGCGAGCAGAAAGTTCACCTGATGTTAAGTTAATACCACCGCCCATGGACATCTGCTACACCCGACGGTTGCAGATGCGTTGACAACCTTTTGAACATTGTGATCCATCTACCACATTCAACAGACGAAACGCGAAAGCATTATACGTCCACTTTACGCCGGTCTTCTGTGAGGTCGTGGTACTCACCCGGACGAGCCTGCCCATTCGTGTAACAGCCGAGTAAGCTGCGTGGCCCTACCACAGTTTCCCTCCATTGGTATTTCATCGTTGCATTTCATCTGCTTTGAATTATTTATTTTGGCTTCCCATTGCTGCGGCAGGCAAACACCGTATCAATTTCATCTTCATAATTGCCCAGTTTTCATGAAAAGTTAGATGTCGACAAGATAGCATAAACGAATCCTGATGCAACTTTCGCCAAAAATACGAAATTGAAAACGTTATGTGTTTTTATTAAATAATATCCTTATAGTGTATTAAAATAATAAAATGAACACATATAGCATTATTTATTATTCCTTATTTAAATGGAAGGACTTCGATTGAGTGCAACCTTGTATTAATAAATTCCCACACATTTTCCTGTACATGCGTTAGGTACGCGTATAAATAACTTATTTTGTGCTTTTGTTGATATTCTAACCACATCCACTGAATTTGTTTCGCTTAATTAACTTATGGAAACGAATGCGGTAGATGGGAAAAAATTAATATGCATTAAGCTAGTGCCTCGACCTGAGATTGCTTCTAGAATAATTTATACTAATATTACACTAACAACTTTTTTTTTAAACATTTCCCTCACATTAGGACATCGTTACCCTGTGTTGTACGGACGTTTTACAAAAATAAATTGCACGTGGGCAAACGCCCAGATGCGAAACAATGTCTGCGGGTCACACAAATAGTCGTCTCGTGTGGGAATCCAACCCACGACCCACGACATCGAAGCCAACACCTTGGCGACTGCTTAATAAACTACTTACAAGTATTTTGAAATAAAAAAACATATAGAAATGTTTTGGTCAAAAGCTATAAACCCAGGTTTTTAAAAAAAAGGGAAGATTCACCTGACTGTGAACGGTCACAGCCCATATATGAATGATAATGGCAACACCGAGGAGGTTACAGGTAGAGTTGCCAACCATACTTTATAATAACGGCATACTTTATTTTTGGTTATACCTACTTTATATTTTTGTAGATAGATAAAGTACGTGATTACTGTATTTTCAATCTTTACTCTGATGCATAAGATAAAACACTTACAATGTATGTATCTATATGGATAATTACTGAACTTGTATCGATACTTTTAAGTTGAAACAGAACCCTTTCAATCTAGAAGCTTTTGCTGTTAATAATATTATAAGATGTAACAAAAACATTTATTTCCCAGTGGTACAAGCATAAAAAATATTACATCTTCAGGAGGAGAAATAAATAAAATTTTGGAATATAAGTTATTTTTCTTCTTTATACTTTATTTTTTCTCTACTTGAAAAATGTGTTACTTTAACTGTTTCAAAATCAGTTAGCAAACCTAGTTAAGGGCTTGGTAGCTTGTAACTTTGGTAGTTATCGAGTAACTTACCGTATACAGCAAGCAGAGGACTCCGACCGCGGTACCAGTGAGGACATCCCACCAGTGGTGGCGGTGGTCTGTCAGGCGGCTCAGAGAGCAGACGGCGGCGTAGCCCACGCACGCCAACTGCAGAACTGGTACCAGCAGAACTGTTCGGTGTTGCCAGTCGAACGCGCGCGTTTGCAAGTACCACTGGAGGGTAGTTTTCACATTGAATTAAGGAACAGCCTATTTATAACTTATTGAAACGGCCTGTATATTCGTAAATCAACAGCCAGTACATACATAATGAAGCAACCCGTAAATACATTATGGATGCGTGTGCCTCGGTTATCAAATTCACACTTGGCACGTACCACTAGAAGATGTTTTTGCAAATTTCTAGATCAGTTTACCTTAATTATAGCATTGATAAATCTTAGATTTTTCAATTTCGCTATTTATAGCTAATACTGAAGATGAAGTTAGGACAGAACAAAAATAAATCATCCAGGAATAGCCTCCATTTCACTGTCAAATCCGCGAAATTTACAAATAATGTTTTCCTTTTTTAATCGTCGAAAAGAACATATTATAATACAACAATATTTAACGGATTTCATCGTGTTGATACAACAATTAGTTAATTATTAATGAGCCGTTTATCCGATTGAGTAGAATAGCAGATAAGGATTTACGAAAGCACGCTTGGTTTTATGTATTGGGAGGGATGATTGGGATGGGGTTTACCTACATGGTATAAAAAGAGTTATAAGGTTTAAATTAAGGACAGGCAATATTTACCGCAATAAAAAATCCGCAGTATACTGAGAGCGACGTGTGCCCCGACGGAAAGCTGTGGTAGGAGTCCATCTGGTACCAGGCGGAGAAGCGCTGTGAAGTGCACTCGAAGGCACTGACGAACTCAGACCTGAGACCAAAAAGATCAATCATATTATAGACAAATACGAGGTAGATATGACACTGAGGCGGTCAAATTACGCCAACTGGTGAAATTAGGTTGCAATTCTATAGACCGCTATCTCTTTACGTATCATATGTTCTATATATCACGTCACATACACTAACAAAGTGATGTAATGTAAAGAGGAACATTTTTTAAATGTTGCACAGTATGGACATGCCTCGTATTATTAAACATCATTGAAATAGACAAACTTTATTTTCAGTAAACTAATATTTCTAAAGTATATGACAGAGTCCTTCCAATATAAAACGGTTCCTTCGGTTATGATGTACCATTTGCGTAAATATTTGTTAGAGAACCAAATAAATACCAATTGTATCGTAGCAAATTGATGCATCATAAGTGGCGATTGACGTTTCCCAACCAACTATCCGATAACTGAAAATATTTTTTAATCGATTCGTGTTCGATTACGGCTGAGCGAGAATCGCACAAATATTATCGTTGGACATCAATTATGTTGTGACACTCGATTACCATGCACCGTGTCAGCTTTCGTCTACTGACACGTGAATGTCCACAGGAGGTTCTAGAAATGAAAACATCACGCAAGCCAAACGTCGCAGTAAAGTATGTCGAGTTGACTAGATGTATGACGAAGTGGCGATTCTACTAATGATTGGGTATCTAAGCAAGCTTGTTCATATTAGGGTACTCGAGATCTAAAAAGAAATTTTCGTGCGTAACATTCTTGACCGGTTCTAAGAAGATTCATACATGCTTGCTTGGTAAACGTCATTAAATACTAAAAGATTTTAAACATTATTAAATATTCAATTAGTCTTTAATAATGTTGTAGAATATTTATTTATTTAAGCTTCATTGCTACACCTTAAGCTAAGGGCTACAATGGACGGACTTAATGCCTAATGGCATTCTCTAGCAGTCAACCCTTGTCATAGTGAAAACTATATGTAGGTGCTGAATGAAGACTATAAAAATGAATGTTAATATTTAATATTTTCTTAATTATAATCTCGTAATAAAATTAACACTAGCTATCAGAATATTTATTACTAACACCTGCTTGTTGTTTAATAGATTTAGTTGTCTAATGGGATTAAACTTTTCGTGTATTTCCCTTTTCAACTACTTTGAAAAATATTAATCCCTGGACGCAATTTAGATTAAGGTAATCTGTAAAAGTGTTTACCGCGAAGAAGTAGCTAGATCTGGTCATAGATTTCAGGCCATACAAATACTTCTCGTCAGAAACGAAAGCGTTTACCAATAATACGAAAATCCAGCCACTAAGCAAATTACTTACATAAACAAAACTTCATTTACTTTAATTTTAAATCGTATAAAAAAAAACAATCAACCATATTAGATCAAACGTTTTACCCATTGCAAGTCAAAGCGGCGTCAGGCTCGCAGATGTCGAAGAAGGTGGGCCTCGGGAAGCCGGTGACGGCCTTCATCACCTCCACTATAGTTAAGTTGATGAACAAGCCGTAAGCGTAACCCCTGAACAGCAGCATGGTCTCGACGGCAGAACAGCACAGCCGGTCGCGTATCGACTGCCCAGGCCCATGAAACGCCAGCTCCGTGAGGAATATCTTAAGGGAATTGCAAAACGATCATATTATAAAAATAACCCTTACTAATATTATAAACGCGAAAGTTTGTATGGATGGATGGATGTTTGTTACTCTTTCACGCAAATGCTACGGAATGGATTTTAATGAAACTTTACAATAATATAGCTTATACACCATAATCGCACTCATATTTTTATGTAAACAGAAAGACAGGTAGTATTTCTGTTTGAATGTTACACCTTCAGCCTAATCTACGCAGACGTAGTCGCGGGCAGCAGCTAGTAATATATAATTAGGTGAAAGAGAAGGGTTTTGCGACTCTTAGTTAACCCTATTCGCGAATTCTACGTCGGTACAATGACATACAAAGGTTGTGAGGTTTCACGTCAACCCGCTTTATTGTATCCTGCATTTACTTCTTTCTATGCTTCTATAAGTGAGGATCAGGGCGTATATGGTAAATGAATTTCTCAGTGTATTATTCACTGTTGTGTGTGTCTTGAAGATACATTATAGTAGTAGAAGATAACGAGTATGTCAATAGGAGAGACTTAATTTATGTTACATTTTTCCATTACTAGCAACAGCGTTTCACTGTCTTGATCCTTTTGCCAAATTAAATTTTAAAGTTCTTCGCTTCCGCTCCCGCACCAAAGCTTTGAGAGGGAAATTGAGAATTCCACGCCTATGTGCTCTTGTAAATAAATGCTCCAATAAAATTGAATTTAACTGCGACTCCTTATTTCAATATAATAATACCTTATACTAAAGGCTGACTGGTTACTCGAATGCCGTCCTGTGCATTTCGTTTATGCTAAAGGACTGAAATTTTACGGTGGTAGAGCCACGCAACAGCCTCGGCTGTTGCACGAATGGGCAGGCTCGTCCGGGTAAGTACCACGACCTCACAGAAGACCAGCGCAAAGTGGAAGTATGACAAATACTTTTCGTCTGGTGAGTGAGGTAGCCGGAGCCCAATTTCCAAAAAGGTTGTCAACGCATCTGCAAACCCTCGGGTGTAACAGATGTCTGTGAGCGGCGGTATTCACTTAACATCAGGTGAACCATCTGCTCGTTTGGCAACTTTTCACATAAAAAAAAAATATGTCCTAGGAAATGCATCCATCAATAACATTTTTTTGCAATAAATATTGCGCAGTATAGTTTTTAAAATAAATGGTCAATTTTATCGCTATCTATTGGAATTTATCCGTTTAAGCATCATTATACTGGTCGTGGGTTCTACATTATGGTTGTGGGTTCATTGCCTTGTAAATTAACCCAAATGTTGATTACACGTTGCAAAATTGTAGGTGTACTGTGTCATTTATTGCGAATCGGGTAATGCAAAGTGTTCAAAACTCACCACAACCAAAGGGCACGCGACGATTGTGGATATTATGACGCCCATAGATATTGTGTCGCCTTTGTAAGGGTAAGAGAGTGCCGGATCGTTGCAGAAGAAACCGCTCTTTCGCTGGGGGAACATACCCATCTCTTGAAGCAAGACCAGAGCAGCCACTGCAGATGAAAAACAGACTTAATCACATCAACATTGTTATTAAAATCGCTTGCAGTACTCACGCTGCACAAAATGATTATGCGGAACAATGATTTGCCTAAAATCTAGCATTCGAAGACATTTCAGGTACAAACGCGTCATACGCCAAAATTATTGCAATAAAAACGGCGTAAACTATCGTGAATATTATTAACTCATAAACTTATACGGAAGTTGAAGAAGGTAATACACAGAAAGTGAAAAAAAAATTAATTTGTTACTAAGTAAATGTCAAGATCAACGCATTTATACATATTCCTACAAATCTCAGCTTGCGTCTGTTATTTTTTCTATTATGTTTATATTTAGTGATCTGTTTTCACACTTTGGAGACATTGCGCCGTAACAGTTTAGGGAATTAAGGTGGTGGGAGAAAATTAAACAGTAACAGACGTTACGACGGCACGTAATATGAGCACGGTACGTATCGAGATCTTTGTTTTCGTTTGATGATGACTTTCCATCTTAAAGACTCTTTCCATCTTAAATTGTCTATTGAAGGCCTCGCAGCCGCGTTATTAATATATAGAAAAAATGGTGGCTTGTGGTGGTTTATTGGCGTTTCAATAGACTTATAATCGTGTAAGGTTATTTCGGAATATTGACAATATACTAGTCCCTGGGGCAGTTTTACTAGTCTGCTAGATATCCTGAGTTAAGATGTTTTCAGTTAATAATCTCCGCAAAAGATGGATGGTACCAGCTATCTTATCCATGTCATTTGGTACAAATGACTACACATTTTTTGCCTAAAAATGGGTATCAAAGAAATAAAATAGGTCTCCGGCTACTTCACTCACCAGACGAAAAGTTTTTTATCACACTTTCTTCAGCAAGACCAGTTCTCCCTGAATAAATCTACCGATTCGTGTATCTAGAAAAAAAAAGCTTCTCCTAAAAGCTGTTTCTAGAACAATACATCTTTCTAGTAGCTTTTTGTGCGCTGACAAACTATTATATAGCATTAAATATTGAAAGAGTAAACATCTTCCAATAAAGGTGAAGATAAAGGTGAACATAAAGCATTCATTGTTATTGCGGTAACATACATGGATTACACGCAAATGATTTTAACTTTGAGCGCGGCTAGAGGTCCACAACAGATGGAACAATCATAAACGTCTGCACGAATTGGACCATTAACTTCGGGGACTATTTGCATGGTCGGGGAGGAAAATGCTAACCGAATAATTTTTAACAAGAAAAAACTTTTTCAAACAGGAAACTAAAACTAGAATAACATTGGTAATACCCATAACATTTAGGATTTCCCTCAATTTCTCTGGGATGCCATCATCAGATCCGGGTTTCCTTTTAATGGAACCACCCTTTCCAACAAAAAAGAATCATCAAAATCGGTTCATGAACGACGAAGTTATCCGCGAACACACATAAATATATATATATATACGGTCGAATTGAGAAACCTCCTTTTTTAAGTCGGTTAATAATAAATACTAACACACTCAATTAACATAAGATCAAATTTTTGGTTATAATAACGGATTACGTGTTCATCGACAAAATACGAAACAGACGAATATCACTTGGTACATTGTCTATTGGATTTTATCTTCACAACCCTAGGTCTAATATCAGTAAAATATGGGACCAACTGAGAGCTAAAGCGACACCAATGCAAAAAGATCTTTTGCATTCGGTTCATAAATGGCGGACTTTTGATGTAACAGACATGAAAAAATAGTGACGAATTTAGAACCTCCTTTTTCGAGGTCGGTTTAAAATGAAAGTATTACGACAACTGATGATATTCATATGTAAAGTTGAGATGTTAAGAAACTACAACTTGTGTAAATCAGCGCGGGTTAGAATTCTGCCGGGCGGCGTTAACATCTACACATTTTAAATTTTCACCTCAAGTGCAGAGACTGGCACTAAACATAATTTTTTTTTGTCTTTACCCACCAAACCAGAGCCGTGATAGCTCATTTTCGGGGCGCTCGCTTTCAATCAAAACACCGTGAGGAATCCTCCATATTTTCGAAATAATAACGTTAAAGAAATATTTCAATCAATCAGCAGTGGGGTCGTCTTGTATTGTTCTGTATTAACTGATGTTTGTGCTTTCAGTCCCGAGACTATTAAAGCTTCATAAAGTGGGGTCGTGCGTTGGACTATTCCCTGACAGCCTATGTACAGAAGAGGCATTTGCCCAGCAGTTTACATAGTTATATACTACTAGCTGCTGCCCGCGACTACGCCTGCGTAGAATAGGCTGAAGGTGTAACATTCAGACAGAAAGACAGATAAAAATAAAAAATAAAAAAAAATTCTACATAAAGATTTGTATGTGTATAAATTAAAGCCTATGTCTTGTTCTGATGAATAAGCTATATTCTTGTAGTTTCATTAAAATCCATTCAGTAGTATTTGCGTGAAATAGTAACAAACATTCAACCATATATACAAACTTTCGCGTTTATAATATTAGTAAGGCTTACTTTTTAAATTGTTTTATAGTGCTAATCTTTGCACTTAAGATTGAACATTAAAATATTATAAACGAAATATTATAAAATACAAAAATTATCGTTGTAAAACGATATTCGAAGTTGTTTGTATGCTGGAAAGGATATAACAATAGATGGCGCCAAGCATTGCTTCAAATGCTAAGAAAACAATGTGGAAGAATGCGTTAAGATTTTCGTCGGTGTGGTAATCAGCCGTTTAGCTCAGTGGCTAGAGCGTCAGGCCGCGAGTGCCGAAGACGTGGGTTCGATTCCCACAGCGGCGACAATCTTTTCGCACTTTCCTACATATTTTAATGTTCAATCTTAAGTGCAAAGATTAGCACTATAAAACAATTTAAATTTCTAAAAAAGCAATGGCAACATCTCTCGTTCGAATTATCGTTGTAAAACGATATTCGAAGTTGTTTGTATGCTGGAAAGGATATAACAATAGATGGCGCCAAGCATTGCTTCAAATGCTAAGAAAACAATGTGGAAGAATGCGTTAAGATTTTCGTCGGTGTGGTAATCAGCCGTTTAGCTCAGTGGCTAGAGTGTCAGGCCGCGAGTGCCGAAGACGTGGGTTCGATTCCCACAGCGGCGACAATCTTTTCGCACTTTTTCTACATATTTTAAGGCTTACTTTATTTTAGTTTACTTTACCAACCAAATGACAAATAGCAAATACATCTGCTGTTGATAGTCCCTTGCGAAATCCAGCCACCGCCTTCCACTTACGCAATTTGCCCGCGCCCGTCCTGGCATTGACTTTGAACTTAAGCCCTGGCCGGTTCGGTGGCTCGGCGGATAGGCTAAACGCCTCGCCGAAAGTGTTCGCCGGTTCTCTTCCGGGTGTGGGGGAAGAGGTAAATGAGGCGCGAACGTCTCCTACTATTTTCTTTTATATACATAAGACATTTAGTACGTTATACATCGTCCACACACGTGAGAAATGCAGAATTATGTATTTTTGTTTAAAATTAACAAGGCTTAGTCCACACGTGATTTCAAACGCGGTATACGCAATGTGAAGATAAATCTTATAGCCTAGACAGTATTCCGTATTGTTTCAGTGTAAGGTTACCTCGGACTATAAATTGCTTTCAAATCTTTTAAAACGTTGAGACGGAATTACGCAATCAGTACACACACGCATATATGAATAAATATTCATAGTTACACACATTGTTGTCATTTGAGAATCGAATCGACGACCCCCGGCGCCGCAATTAATACCTTGGCAACTGCGCCACGGGGTAATCAGAACCTATACAATGGCAGCGAGTGTGAACCACAGCACCATCTATGACGTCACGTAAGCTCTCGTTTTGACGGTAAGATCTGGCCAAAGACCTTTGATGGCAAGATTCGCCACAGTCTTGTTTCTCGCACATATATCCACCGCTCCCTGTCAAACGGCAGGAAACGTACTGATGATATCCTGCCACGATGACGTGGTAATAATTCATCATTAAAGAAAACTCCGGCAGATTAGCGGGCCTTTGCCCCGGGTATGAGACGCTTAGGTTAAAAGGCCTCTGTAAATTTGCTCATAGGGACTGCAGCCTCAGCTTTCATATATCTTATGCAGGCTCACGGATCCCAGGGTATATCTAACAAGGTACAAGGTGGAAGATAGCGCCTCAATACAAGTCATATTTCTTATTTTATTTTTATTTCGTAATTTCTTAATATTACTGTGATACTTATGTTAAACACGTATGTTAATAAAACTACTTTACAGGCTTTATAGCCCTTTTGTTTTTAGTTTAGGTTCCAGTTGTTTCAAATATTTTACAGTGTTCATGACAACTGGGTTTTGACGTCGTATTGACGCTATCAGTTATTTTATGTGCAAAGTCATACAGGCCCATGGACCTTCAAATATATCTCATTCGCCACGAAACTTAAACGATTAACAATTCTACTTCACTCTGTTTTAATAATAATAAAATATCTTTATTCACATAGACGCTTACGCGTTCTTATGAAGCGTCAAAATTTTACAAGAAATTAACACGTTCGTAAGTTACCACCGGTTCGGAAGGCAGTTTCTGTTGAGAAGAAACCGGCAAGAAACTCAACAGTTGCTCTTTTTAAAAAAAAGTCAGTTTACAATATAATAGTACATGTACAATAGTCTTGTTTTAGCCTACGTGAGTATCAACAGTATTAACCCCACAAATTGGCGTCGTCAAGATATTCAGCAATAGAATAATAGGCTTTAGCCATAAGTTTACTTTTAATTTTTCGTTTAAATTCATCAAGTGGCAGACTTAATATCGACTTTTTTTTTTTTGAGGCCCTGATTCCCCAAACTAGCCAGCCCATTCGTCAAACAGCAGATGACGCTACCTCAATGAAGGAAGCTATGCAGGCGTCTGACGGTATCAGTTCTAGAACTATACTACTACTAAAATTATATTACTTATCCGATCCGTGCAGCAAATTCCATATACAGTATTTATACGTACTGTCAAGTTATTTAT